GTTAGGAGTACTAGCGGTGGTCAATAGCCCGTTAGTTATTTATGATTTGTCCCACTTTAACCAAATGATTTAAATACAACAGTATATAGTTAATAAGTACTTAACTGTTGCCAATATTGCATATGATGACACAACTAATTAAAGACTTGATATGTTGCCTTATGGGAAAACGATCTCCTAAGACCATCTCCAATGGAACACTAATTTCTCCTCTATAATTCATACTATAATAGAATAATTCTATTATAGAGTAAACCATTGGATTATAATAAAAGAAGCGTTCATTTAGGGCACTCCAATAGAACACTATTTTTCTCTCTATATTTCACATTAAAATAGAGCAACGCTTCTTTTATTATAAGGCAGGCATGGCACTGCTCACTAATAATTATTTCGTTTTGTAAGAAATGTAAATAGTAATTACATACATGTGAAATCAAAGCCAAAATTCTGTAGTGAATGTAAAGTAAAAGTTTCTAGTTATAACTTATAAGAAGGTAGCAAGTTATGTAAATAACCAAGATGATTCGACGTAAAAGTAAAAGATGATTCGACGTACATCTTATCTTGTGGCCACACGGATATGAACTTATCTTACGGCCGATTTGAATACCTGGAGTGAGTGTCCATCCGTGGGCTGCACCACCCCTTTGGGGATTAGTCTGGGCCTCTCCATGGGCTTGAGATACCCCCAATGTTAAACAAAAAAATAAAATAAAATAAAATAAAGCAACCACTATTTTCTTCTTAAAAAAACAACTATTCACGAGGACTGTTCATTATGGGAAAAAATGTTATTGCATGTTTTCTTTTATAAAAAAATGATTAATCAAAATCTATTAATTAAAAAGCCAGACATAATCTATGAGTGGGAGATGCATCCCACGACAGATCATCTCTCAGGCATTCATACGACGGATCCGCCTTCGTGGTAACCAAAACAATTTGATTTAATATCCGCATCAAAAGAATAGAATATGTTAGCATCTAGAGACTGTCCACTACCACTGGACCACAAAGTCCCGCTCAATGTTCTTGCATGTTACCAAAACAAGCTTGCAAAATTGATTAAAACATACAATTTGTGCTAATAGTTATAAAAGAAAAAAACAACACTAAAAAAGTTACCAAAAAAGTTATCTAAAAACAAGTTACAAAATAAGAAACTAAACGAAAAAATGATGATCAATTGATCATGGTACAAAATAATTATAATCATGAGAAGCCTTTTTGTACACCATACTTAGATCACCACAATGTTCTAGAAAGTAATTCATAGATGCCCACCATGTTTTTTTTTTTTTTTGAGAAAGGGCTTTTTAATGACCACCATGTTCTAGAAATTATTTAACAATAGAAACAAAATTTTCATAAAGATTATGTTCTTCTATAAGATTAGGGTGGAGAAGGAGATAACAGTCACAATGTAAGCATTACATAAACACTGGCTAGGTTATGGTAAACTTGACATCCATGAGTTCTCCTCCTTTACACAAATATGATCTACCATTAAGTGTCTCCTAAAACCATTGCTGCTAAACTTTCTTGTAAAACAAAGTGTCTCCTAATTAACCTTTGACTATTTCAGGCATATAGTTTGGAGACTAAGATCATCTTCTTTACGCAAACATATAAGCTCCAATAATTATGACAATCTACCCTTGAATTCAAACTGATTGTAAACACTAAATTTACGCACTGCATATATGAATATTTTCTAATGTGTGTTATCGAATTTGTGTGGCTACACTCTAATGAATATTTTCTTTGCCAATGATTTCATCCCATATGGCTTTCTTTTTCTGATTTTGTCTTTATTTTGTTCCACCGTTTTGACCATTGTTATCGCTTTCATCCATTGAATGGCTTCATCTCCATTTTTGTTCACATCCAAATGTGTTAAACGATCCATAGACGCATTTTGGTCTGTCTCGATGGGTCCCTTTAAACCCATGCATTCTAATGTTTAATTCTTATATATATTAAAATTGTATGGTCATGTGAACTTGCATTGCATGTTCCGTTCAGGTCCCATTAGTGGCAGAAAAAAAACTCGAAAGAGTAAAATTGGTGAAATCGGCAAAATGTTTCGTATGAAGCGTATGAGATGATCTTTCTAAGATTTGGCAGAGCAATATCTTTCTGAGTTGTATAGTTTTCCCATGCAAAAGAATCAGCGCAATCGTTGACATGTTTTATACATAAATAACGTTCTGTGTTATTTGAGATTTGACAATAGGTGCATATATAGGTTAGTGCATGAAACTCCAAATCAATGTGATACATGTTAGAAAATTGATGAAGGCTGTTTATTTTGCATGGTGTACAATTTATTTTATTTTCTTTAAATTCATTTTAGGTTAGCTCACAATATTCATTCATATGTATATATCGAGAAAACATTGTGGGATATTATATTTGTCTATTTATGCAATTATCAAATACATTATGTGCACATACCTAGGTTTTTGTTAGCCATACTGTGTTGCTGAGTGGCTTTTATAAACGGAAAACAATACTACTCTCTCCGTTTCATTTTAATTGTCATTTTACATTTTTACACACAGATTAAGGAGACAGATTAAGGAAACATTTAATTTTACATATTTTCAAGAAAAAAACACAATTACCTATACACCTAACCACTTTTTCAACAAATAGAAAAATTGAATATTATATAAAACTAATAAATTTTATCTCGAAACTCTAAAACGACACTTATTTTGAAACAATTTTTTTCCTCCAAAATGACAATTAATTTGAAACGGATAGAGTAATATTTATCTTCGTGTTGTCTCCACCATCAATGTCATCGTTGTCATACCGGTCAACAACTCAATAATAACTATTCGCCTTTCGAAGAACCAAGAAGCGTACTACATACATTTGAAATCGAAGCCAAAGCTGTGTAACGAATTGTAAAATAAAAAGGTACTGTAACTTTTAAGAAGGTAGCAATTAAGTTATGTAAACAACCAAAGATGATTCAACCTAAAACCAACTACTATTCACCAAAGGAGGATTGCTGAACTATTTAAAAATTGTATTTTATCTAAAAAAACTTGTGAATTGATTAAAACGATACAAATTTTGGCTAAAAATGTAAATGAAAACAACTAAAAGCTACTCACTCTCTTTCTAAATAAGTGTCACTTTAGCCTTTTAATTTTGTTTCAAAAAAAGTGTCATTCTACAGTTCCAATGTAATTTTGTACATTAAATCTATTTTTTACCCTTTTGAATAACCAATAGTATTTTACTTAAATTATTTTCATTTAGTTAAACATACATTAAATAGAGATATATTAGTCTATTATTATTTAAAAACAGAGGGAGTACAAAATAAAGTAACTAAACTCAACAGATGATGAGCATGGAACAAAAGATTATGTTCTTTTGTACACCTACTCAGTCCACCACCATGTTCTAGATATCTCACAATAAAACAAAAATCTCTACAAAGATTATGTTCTTCTAAAAAAGATGTGGGACTCGATCGAATGATTGAGGTGTTATATGAATCAGAAAGTTGACACAGCACTATCGTGAAATAGAGAGGACAAATCTACGTGGGTCCTTAAACGTATCTTCGCAGTACTACACCTTCGTAAAGGTCTTCCAAATCATCATTCAGACAAAATATTTTAGGAACATAGCAAGTGTCTGGTTCAGACAAATAGACTACCTTAATTCTCATAGACAATTTACTATTTCTATATCTTCAATCGTAACTTGTACACTAAAGATGTTGAATGAGATAATCTTATTAGATGAAAGAAATGTACAATATATAGAACGATACATAAGAGATATTTTAGGGAAAAGTAATTAAAGAATATACACATTTACAAATTATGGAATGGGTAATCTACTTTCTTTATCATATCCCCTCAAGCTGGAGGGACTTGAGTGACTCCAAGCTTGATCCTTGTGCTCTGAAATTGTTGGCGAGGCAATGGCTTTGTGAGACAGTCCGCAAGTTGATCCCTTGTAGATACATGTGAGACTCGATACTCAGCCTTTTTGTTTCTTTGAAGACCATGAGACAGGATTAGCGCCAAGATATACAATGTAAGCATTGGTGGAGACATAGTCGTGATTGTCTCCTGTCCAGTCAGTGTCGGAGAAGCCATGTAATGTCATTGGAGATGCAGCTTTGAGAAAAAGGCCATGGTTTGGTGTACCTGCAAGATAGCGAAGGACTCACTTTGCACCTTGCCAGTGTTTGTCTGTGGGTCTATGCATGAACTGTGATAATCTGTTGACGGCATATAACTGGTAAGACAATCACTCATATTTGCTGCAGCTTCTTTCACAAACCAAAACTTAAAACTTAAAATTTTTCTTGTTTTGTTTTTTCAGGGGAATCTTCCTGACCCTACGAGCAAGGTCAATGACACTAGCTTTGGCAAAGTCTAAGTGATCAGGGAAACACATCAAGCAAGAATTAGCTACGAGCCTACGATCTTTGTTTTTTTTTTTTTTTCTGTAAGTTAAAAGCAAGTCTAAAGAGTAAACGAAAAAGGGTGAAACCGAATAAGAATCTGTATTAAGATGATAACAATGGTTTCAAGTTATTTACAAACATTTGTTCAAAACACATTCACAAACTTATAAGAAATGGTAATAAGGAAGAGATCCTTGTTTTAAGCAGCTTTGGCGAATCCAACTCTTGTATTCCCATAATCAAACACAGTATGGTATGGTCTCATGAACAAGTCACCCAAGATCCTGCATTTTTGGCAGGATTACAAAAAATTGTAAGAGTTAAAACACATTTGAGTTGTTTGGTTAAATTGTGGAAACGAGAATTACCAGTGAGGTCCATGAGGTGGAGGAATATCCATGGGCACGAAACCACTTGTGCACCGAGCCAGAACTCCATCACCAGTCTTGAATATATACTGATCCAGGAAAAAGATAAAAAAAAAACTTTAGTTTAAATTTAAACTCCTTGTGATGATGATATTGGTGAGGTGAAATGTAAGAAGAAAGTGATGTTAAGTAGTTACATCTTGAGGTGAGAGATCAAAGGGTTTGCCACCAATTGTGAATGTGACTATAGGCATGGATGAAACCTTCTCACAGTCCACTTCTGATTGTTGGTTCGGATTTAGTATATGGTCACAAAGCTTTAAAAAAAAAAAAGTTATGAGAGATTTAGAGTTTTTCTTAACATGTTTTACGTCCAAAAAGTCTTAGGAACTCACCTCAGCAGCATAAGTGAGTATGCTTTCTTGTGTTTGATTCTGAAACAATTCACTCTGCATCCATACAGATGCCATTTCACAGGCGCTGCACAACATGGTTCGGTTTAGAAGCTCCGGGACTAAATCTTGTGCATTGCAGAGTCCTATCTGTGAGCATACCTTCCTCGGATCCACCTGTATCTCAAAGTACTGATTTTCACGATTGTGTTTGTCTATAAATAAGCAGGTGTGAGTGAATGTGTTGTTGGTATTAGAAGTAACTTCAACCTGAGAGACAAGGGAGTCTAGTATGGTTTGTCCATATTGACCTATTACAGTTTTGCACTCTTGGCTTGGGTCTCCTACTACTCCAATGGCATGATTGATCATTGTGATGACAGCCTAGACATCACAAAAAAAAACTATTCAGCATGTAACAATCTACACAAATCTTTCATGTTTCACAGTGAACAATCTACAAAAAAATCTTTCTCCTACCGATGGACCGGTGAGAAGAGAAGTTCCGGTATCAGCAATAGCAGAACAACCTTTAGCACAATATCCTGAATGACATTGATACACAGATTATTAGAGATATGTTGGGCCGGAAGATGTATATCTTACGGTCCAAGATTGTGAAGCTTATGAAACCCATGAAGAACCTAAAGAATAAAAGGAAAGACTTGAAGAGCAAGTTAATCTCAAGATATTCTTAGCATATTTACATTAAGTGTTTAGGAAAGTTAGCATCATTTGGTGTTAACATTATGTCAACTTATATCTAAAAGGACTCAAATCAAATTCTGAGACTTGAAACATTTCAAAAAAAAAAGCTTAACTTACCTGTTGGTTTTCCAGCGATGTTGATATCACCCATGTCGAATTTCCAGTAACCTTTATGTGTCACTGGAACATAAGTATGTTCTCCTTTGAAGTGGTTAATGTCAACTCCGCCAAAAACAATCTGACCACCTTCTGGTTCTTCTGGGTTAGGGTTTAGCCAATAGGAAAAAATGTGCTCGTTAAGCAGAAGTCTTTCCACCATGTTATACCTATGTATGGTGTATGATATAACTAACATATTCACATCATTCATAATCAAATGAAAAAAAAAAAGAAGAAGAAGGTCGTGTCTTTTCTTACAAAACTGGAGTCGTGTCTTCTTCAGCGATCTCTTTGAAACCCAACCCTAGGATACCATCAAACTTGCCTGACAAGAATGTAATACCAGGCACACTAGTAGCCTCTATGAACTCCTGTGGTAAATAAAAAAAAAGTATAAAAGAAAAAAAAAATGTAGCAGTAAAAAATATGCAAACAGTAAAATTTGCAAAATTATTCTGAGATATGAAAGCTGTTGCGTTTTACCTAACCGGGGATAACAAGACCACCAACGTTAACACTATCGTTGCTAAAGTAACCAGAAATAGCACCTCTTTCATAGCTGATTGACGCAGCTTTTCCTGTAAATGTCAAATGAATTTAGTGTCGAAAACTTTAATTCTCAAATGAACATTATAGTTAAAAAAGCTCAAGAATAATAACAAACCGTTAGGTGTGTAAGTGGATGACTCCCTAGCCTTGTATTTTGAATGTGAAGAACACGCAACCTGAAAACAAAAATGTTTTGTTTTTATTTTGTTGACAAAGACTATAGGGTATAATAGCATTTTGTTACAAAAAAAAAGGTATAATAGCATTTAGTAGGCATTCATTCCTAAGAACAGGTTATTAGCTTACCGAGTGGCAGTTAATAGATGGTATCCAGAGATTGGAGCTTCCGGTATCAAAAATTACTGTAAAATTCTGAGGTGGAGTGCCAATGCTAATCTCACCATAGTATTGAGCATCCAAATTTTTCAGGGGAACAATGCCCCTATTTGCAACGCTCAGGCGGACATAATCTTTGGGAGACCAAGATCCTCGGTTTTTCGACAACAGCTGAGAAGCTAGCCTGTTGGCCCGGTCTAGTTTCCTCTTCTTCAATCCTATTCTAAGCGTTCCCTCGCCTTGTTGCTCAGATGCTAAGGCCGCGGATATAAAGACCAAACATGAAAGCAAGAACACGAGGAAGGACTGGAACCGAGTTCCCATTTTTAACTGTCATCAGTTAACAATACCACATCAAGGTTATAAAGAACAGCCACATATATAACTATTTTGTTGTTACTGTTTTAATTAATGATGAAAAAGAATACATGTGCAACATCAAAAGTCTACTTCTTGTAAATAAGACCATTGTGAGTCTTGTTCACCTTAAACATCTACCAGTCCAAGTTTCTAAACAAAAGATCAAAATTCAAGATTGGTGAAATACAGGACAAAACACACAGACACATTGGACTTCTAACATATTACAAAATATGGTAAAACAGAAAACCTTTCAAAAGATGTTAAAGGAGGTAATAAAATGAAACTGTTTTGTTAATTACTGCAGCATAATTGTTACCACAACACATATGTTAAAGAAAAAAAAAGTTTATACTACACCAAGAATCAAGAAGATTTTTTCACAAAGTTTCTGATTTACCAACTTTAGTTCTTATATTATTATTTTTTTTGTAGTGAAAACTAAATACATGATTAGTGTAATATTGTTGATTAAGTTATCTCTCAAATTTCAAGCCAATCAAAATGTTTTACTATTTGAAGATTTATTACTTTTCATGAACATCAATTGATGAACACAAACTTTCTGACAAAGAAAAGAAATCTGGAAAATAGAAAAGAAGTGAAACAACACTTACGAGAAAAATGACAGTGGAGATTCTGAAACCTTAAGAGGATGAAGAAGAAAACTCGAGTGACAAGAAGAATGGTGGAGAGTATTATATTTATAACGTAAATGAATTCAAAGAGAAACTAGGTAGAGAAACATGAATGTTGTATTTACTATAAATTAAATTGGTACTAGTTGCTTCAAAATGTAAGGATGTGAAGGAATCCCCTATATATTAAAAGAGAAGTCACTTTAATGAATTTTGCTTACATGTCATTCATAGGTGCAATGTAGAATTAATTTTTTTAATTTGATTGGTTGTTGGCATTTGAATTTTTATTTATTTAATTAAAGTTTTTTAAAAGGAAACTAATCTTAGAATGACCTAATCTAATATATATTACCAAACAAAAAATTAACCATCTTAAATGCATAGGATTAATAGAATTTCTTTATAGAAACAATTAAATATCACATATTCCATTATAAAAATTTAGAATATACATATAAATACATATTATATTATAGAAATAAGTATATAAAAGATTTTAAATTTTTTTCTATTAATAGTGGATAAAAAATCATACATTACAGAAAACTAATAATATTTTTATACTCACTCACTATATATATATATATATATATATATATGTATTCTTAAAATATGTTCAATGAATGCAAAACAGTCAAATGTAATTTCTTTAAAAAAATTCTATCATTTTCTAGAGATAAATTTCGATAGTACAGTTGAGTTATCACTTTCAAAAATTATTTAAGTATTTTTATATTTAAAACAGAAAATAACATGGTATGTCATGTTAAAAAACATGAATAAATGAAAAATTTATTATAATATAAAATTACAAAAAATCAAAACATTATATTGATACAAGACTAGAGTTAATATTCTATTCATATAATTCATATAGCTTTAAGTTTAATAAAACTGGCATGTTTATTTTTAATAAGAAAAAAATGAAAAGAGGCATAAATAAAAACATGAGTGAATAATAATAAAACGTTTTGTTGTATTCTTCGTTATTTTGTATTTGTACATACATAATTTTTTATTTGTATACCAAAATTTTTTTTGCATATTAATATAATTGTAAACTAATTATTTTTAGGTGTTTATACAACATAAATAAAAATTGAGCAAGGAAGATAAATATAAATGATAAGTTATAAAATTGTTAATGTTGAAGATGCAAAATATAACGCAAATTAAATTTAAAATAAATTATTTTAAAATAATGATAAGTATTTTTTGCGGTGTAATAAACTTTTAAAATATATGATAACAAAGTTATAACAAAATTTATACAACTAGAAACATGTTATTTTGATATATTAAAACTGTTGAATCTCACGTTTATATTAATCTATGTCTAAAATAATGACATCACATCATTTAAGAATTAAGATATTTTATGTTATATAATTATTTAATCAAATTTACTTTTTTGAAATACAGTTATTTAGATTTACTTAAAATATATATGTAATGAAGTAATTACAAAAACAAAATTAATATATTTTTAAGATATTCATTTTTTCAATGAAGATCTAGGTCAAAGGAATCAATGTTTGATAAGATAGTGTGAAGATTGGAGATAATTTGATAATGAGTTTATTTGGTTAGCCAATTGTGATTTTATATTTAATTCTAAATAAAAAATATGTAAGAAAGGGAGAAATAGAGGGAGATATGGTGATGATAAAGATTAGAGAGTCGGTTATGATCATAACGAAGATGAATGTGAATATAAGTGAGAGACTGAATATAAGTGAGATAGATTCTGAAATCATTTATTAATACTATGTGAAAGTGATTTGAAGATTTAACAAAATCAGGTGAAAAATTTGCAACCAAAGAGAGATAGAAAGAGTTTTAAAGTGAAATATTGAGGATCATATTAAGGATGAAGGTAAGATAATGAATATAAGTGATTGTGAGAGAGTGAATATATAAGTATGAGAGATTTTGAGACTATTTGATCAACTAATAGAGAGAGAGAAAGAAAAAGAGAGCGAGAGAGGTGTACAAAGACATACAAAAATAACGCAAAAAGAGATATATAAGAAACAAAACGAATGTATGAAAAAATACAAGGAGAAAGGAAATGGCTAAGATAGAAAAATATATTAAAAAAAATAGAGTATCTATGTATAAAAGAAAGAAATTTACAATATATTTATTCATTTATATTATTTTTTATTCATGCAATGTATAGATTATATTAATGTCCGCACAGGCGTGCGGACCGTCCACCTAGTTAACTAAAAACTATTAGTAATTTTGTATTTATATCTATTATATTAAAAGAAAAGTCATGACTCATTTCATGTGTGATTTTTTTTATTTGGACCATTAGCAAAAAAAAGATTTATTAAATATATTTCATTTCTTTGTAACTACTTCAATCATAATATCTTTGATATCTTTTTATTTTAATATAAATATGTATTAATTCTTTTAAAAAATCTGTTGAAAAGATTTTAGCAAGATCTTAACTTTAAAAACATTATATAAATATTTCACTAATTAATAACTTGAATAAAATTTCGAATTACTAATGAAAATAATTATACATTAATATATATATATATATATGAAAACATATTTGATTCTTTTTATCTATTTAATAATCATAAAATATCAAATTAAATGAAAGTATTATAATAAAGTGAATTTTATAAAATTATATTAAATTGATAAATTAATCAATTTTATTTTCATAAATAAAAAATATTTAATGTTAAAAATATATAATATATTGGCAGAACGGATTAACATTAGTAACTACACTACAAGAAATATGTATATTCTTAGCGCTGAAAATATGTTATAATAGACCTTTCATAGCGAATTCATAAATGCTATGTCATCGGCAGCTATCGTAAGGTACCATCCTACGATAGCGTTTTATCGTGATGCTACGAAATGTGTGGATACGATAGCAATAACTGGGTGATATTATTAACTCCACTATAGCACGCTTAGTTTTGTTATAAATTGTTTACGATTCATTTTCCGTGCTATAATAGGTCCTTCAAATATAGCAATTTTGAATCGCTATTATATATTGTGCTATTATATATATGTTACGTATAATAGCCGTTTGTAATTGCTGTAATAATTTGTTTATAGCTCTCAAATATCGATAGTAATGTAATTTGTAGGTTTATTTAAATGCTATGATAATTAAATATAACTGTTAGTTCTTGGCTATTGTTGAATTGTTCCAGAGCTATTGGTGCAGTGTCATAATAAAGCTTAACCATTCATAATAAAACGTCTTAAGTCACACATTCATTTGTATCAGTTTCACAACAAACATAAGCAAACATAATAGTTTAAAACAAGCACCTTTTGGACCAAACTTCTTCATTCCCCTGCAGACTGCAAAAATAATAGCTCACATTAGTTAAACTATGTAGAGTTTGAAGCTTAAAAACGCAAAGCACAACACTTACTTCAGACTAGAAAATGACCAATTTTTCAGTTGGCCATGCAATTGATGAACCATGTGCATCTTTCACAGTCTCAATTTCATCTGATTTCCTCCACACTTCTGCATCATCTACCAGCACTACATCTACCCACACTCTAGCTGCATTAGAACCCAATCGTACAAAA